TCAGGATAACCTGAGCCACTCTAACTAGAAGCTTTATCAAAAAGGAAAGTTTTAAGCCTAGCCTTAAAAGTAGACAGGGTGTCTCTGGAGGACTCAGTTGTCGGTTTCTGGTTTAAAAATAAGCACTTTGTTTATTTGTAGATGAAAGCGTATTATGGGAGGCGGGTTCTAGCTGGCATGTCACCCAATCAGCTGATAGTATTTTACTAAACGTCCCTCCTTTTCAGGGACTGACTGAATGGCAGCCATCTTAGATTGATAACAGAACTCATCAATCTGACTCCTGCCAGGTTAGCTGAAAGACACTCAGTCAAGAAATACTGGCCTAGATATTCATTACTGTCGTGTATTACGCTTCCAGTAGAGGGGCCATAACAGGAGCCGTTCTACAGGGGCCCCTGGCTCCCTTTGGCCCCTGGCTGCAACCACTCAGACTGAAAAAGCTGCTTGTTTGTGATAACATTAGATCCATCCCATTAACTGCCTCCATCTCTGAAGCCATTAAACTGGAGGCACTGAGTCGGCATGGTAACTGCAGCCTGACGCCCCCTGCTGGCGGCTCCACCTGCCTGTTTCCTCCACAGATGAGGAAAAAATGGTTTCCAGTTTTCAGATATAAGGTGTGTGAAAATCTGCTGCCGGTTTCTGAACAATCACTTTCTGAAAAGGATCCAGGCGTCTGGATCAGATCGTTTGGAAAAACATTATTTCCCATCTGGAACTTCAGGAGTTTTATTTTATGCTAAATCTAAAGAAGATCTGGGGTTAAAAAAGGGAATCCTTGGAGCTCATCGAACCCAGCGGACTGTTAGACCCCCCCCCCTGCATGCATGCGCCTGTGTGTGCGTTGCCGAGCACCGAGCCGATCTGCCTCCAGCTCTGTCCAAACATGACATCATCCTCTGAGTCTGAATGAAAGCCGGAAGCAGGAGGAAGGAGGCGTTAATGGCCGCCGCTCCCCTGGTCTTCTGGGAGCAGAATGATTGCAGCCAAGCAGCAAATCTGCTGCGCCACATTTCTTCCCCTTAAAGTGGAGCGTTCTGGTTTAAGGTGTTGAACTATGGTTGGTCTGAAGCTTCAGATTCTCTGCATTCTGCAGTCAGACGGCGGCGGCGCTGCGTGAAGCTGCGTCAGAGCGTCTCCTGGGACTCATCAGGACAACAATGCTGCTCTGTTTGCTGCAAACAAAGACCTCTTCTCCTCCTCCTCTTCTCCTCCTCCTCTTCTCCTCCTC